CAAATTTGGGAAAAAACTGAGGGCGCTTTGGAAAGAAAGCCACCGTCTGACCGTCTTTCCTCAGTGGCTTTGTCCAGACAAGGAAGGCCTAGGAACGCCTCTCCCGGCCGGGTTTCTGGGATGAATCCGAAAAGGAGAACCCTCCTGGGGTGCGGCTCCCACCAGAGCCCCCACCCCACCCCTCCGCACACACCGCTGGGTCTCGGGGGGGTCTACCGCACAGGGCCCACTGCCCGGTCACAGCACAGCTCTGGCCTCGGGGGGTCTCCAAACCAGAAGAGAGCGCCTGCTCTGGCCTGGCAGCGAGGTGGGCTGCTTCCTGGGTTTGCAGGCCAACGGGGATCCCCTGAGCCCAGGCCCGGGGGCCCCACAGCCGGCCCAGTGCTCGGGTCTGCACCCCAGGGGGCTCTCTCAGAGCAGCAGGCCCGCCCACTGGCCCTGGGGCATTCATCTGGGGAGCCGAGTGAGGAGGGTTGACCTCTGACTGTGACCTCCCCTGACCTCTGGGCCTGCAAGGATAAAGAGCAGGAGGGCCCCCCCCCCCCCCGCACCCGTCCTGCTCAGCCAGCACCAGGACGGCAGGGCCGCAGCCCCCCGGCGGGTACGCAGAGGCTGCAGTGAGCAGGCGGAGAAGCCCCCGACTCCCACAGAGCAAGCACGCCGCCTGCACGCCCGTGTGTCCCCTGGTGACCCTCCATCATGAGGGGTCAGCAGGGCAGCCTCCCCCACAGACTCGGCCTGGGCAAGCGCCCACCGTGGGCCAGCACCTCGCCTGCCGCTGGCCCAGGGGTGGCAACTCTGGTGGGCGTGTCTTCCAGGCCCAAGGGCCCCCGTGGACCCCGGCTGGTGCCCCACTCCGCACCCACACAGTCAGGGCTCACACAGGCTGCTGGATGCCCCCCGGACGCCGGTCCCCCCTCCTGGACACCAGCCCCCGTCCCAGACACCGGCCCCCGGCCTTGAGTGCCTTTCAGGAGGGCTGGGGGCCAGCAGAGCCCCAGGCAAGAGGCCTGACCCCACCCCTGTCCTCAGTCAAGTCGCCCAGCACGAGCCCATGTCACTGTCCCCGCATGGCCTGCAGGTGGGCCTGTGGTCCACCCACCTGTGATGATGCCCCGGCGTGCAGGGGATGGTCGAGAAGGCTGGGTCAACTTCCCCCGACAGGGAGCCCCAGGACCCCAGCCCCCTCTGTGATGGGGAGTATCTGGCAGACTCCAGGCCCCGGGCAGGCCCTGCGGGCACTCTGACCCTGCAGGGCGGCCCACGTGCCCAGGGGCATCGGACAGGCCCTTGCCTGGGCCTGTGCACACGTGGCACCCCCTGACCCGGACACTCGGGAGCCCACGCCCACCTGCCCCTCGCGAGCACCCAGCACCCCCCTGGAGCACGACGGAGCCTCGGCACCGCACAGCCCTCAGACAGAGGCGTTCCTCACCCGCCCGGCGAGCGGGAACCCGAGGCCGACCCCAATCCACACTGCGCCCCAGGGCGGTGTGCGCTTGCCCTCCTAAGCCTGGCTGTCCCTCCACAGAGCGGGGGGTCCCGTGCTTGCCCCTGCCTCCTCCGCCCAGGTCTGACCCTCAGCCCAGCCGTGAAGCCGATCACAGAGATGCTTCTGCTGCCCGGACCATGCGTGTCCGCCCCCTCCTGGGCCCGCGTCCTGGACGTGAAGCACACCAGACCAATGCTTCGGTGGCTGTCAGACCCTAGGAGAGGCCTGTAGCGGCAGGGCCGGTGTCCTGTGCGCAGCACCAAGCCCCACCCCAGGGCACCCTCTCCCTGCCCCCACCTCCTGTGGGGCCTGGAGCCCGCTCAGAGGGTCCTCGGAGGAGCCGGCGGGGTGGGGGGGGGCGGAAGGGCCGGCATCCTGGAGGCGGCAGCACGGCTCCCGGACCAGGGCGCCTGGTCTGGTTTCTCCCAACATCCAGGGCTTTTCCAGGTTCTCTCTCCGCGTGCAAACCCAGTCACGGCGGACGCTGCTGGGGAAGGGGGCCACAGCCGGCACTCGGGCGGCTGCTGTCGCGAAACGGTCCGGGCCGGGGCAGCCTGGGCCACACGGGCTCGCCTGGCGTTCCCTGAAGGACCCGCCGACCCGCAGCCAGAGAGGGCATGGGGCGCCCCTCCCGCCGCCCCATCACGCCAGCAGTGACGGGCTCCGTGGCCGCCCCCAGGCCCGTTTGTCCCGGGAAAAGCAGGGAACGGGACTCTAAAACACCACAACAGCAAAGTACAAAGTACTCTTCTAGCCCCTACATGGCGGGGAGGGGGGGTTCCCCACAGAGCCCCAAGATCATCAGTGAGGGGAAGGCCAAAGCAGGTGCAGGGGGTTCATGTTTAAGGGGGGCACAGTCACCCTCTCAGTGCCCGGGGGGCGGGGCCTGACCTTGACAGACACGCCCCAAAGAGAAGACAAGCAGAATCCCAGCGCCGCCTCGGCGACTGAGCTAATCTCACCCTCGGGAACGGGGCAGGCACAGGCCAGGGACAGGATGATAAAGAGAGATGGGTCCCCGAGGGGCAGGGGACAGACGTGCCCAGCACATGAGGCACCTGCTACAGACAGACACACGTGTGCACACACACACCACCCCAGGGCCGCTGCCCCCTGCCCCCAGCGCCCCCCACGCCCCGCCCCAGGGAGCCCCCAGCTACCCTGCAGGTCGTGCCCCTCCGGCCCGGAAAACACCACCACCTCCAAACATCCCTGGAGCAGCCTCTGGCCTCGTGGAGGGACGCCAGGCTGCTGGGGGTGGAAACCACCCCTGGGGCCGCCGTGGCTGCTGAGGCGCTGGCCCCTGGGGCCTCCATCCTCCGGCCACCGGTGTGAGGGAGCGGGTCCTCTGGCCTCGGGCACAGCCAGTCGCGGCCACGCAGCCACAGAGGAGCTGGCAGCTCCTCCCTGGCCCCTTGCACCCCGACGTACAGAAACCCTCACCGTGCGGGCAGCCGTGGCCAGCCCCCCGAAACAGGCCAGCGCCCCGAAACAGGACAGCAAGCCTCTGGATAGGTCTCGCTTACTCCGGCCGCCTCCCCAGGACGGTCCAGGCCCCAGGCGGCTCTCCTGACCTCCGCAGCCACCCGCTGGCCCCCCCGCATGCCCCAGCCCCCTAACGGACCAGCTTATTCCGGCCTCCCCTGCTCGCCCTGCTGACCGGACGGGGACGCTCTCCTCCCGCCTCCAGAGAGCAAGTCCCCACGCCTCCTCCGTTCGGGCGTCTGTGCTCGGGCAGCCGTGACCTCTGCCTGCCCCGTCCCATGCGCTGTTGCTCTGGGTCATGCCCCCTTCTCCGTCCCCACGTCCGTCCACCCAAGGCTGTCAGTCCCCAACAGCCGGCCCCGCTCCACGTCCCCGGGGCACTCGGGCGGGCCGCCTTTCTGGTCCCCGACCCGGCACACTCACACTCAGGCATACTTCCACTTGGGAAGCCGGGGGGACTCTGGTGCCTGAACCCCCATCCTCGGGGTGCTTGGAACTTTTCAGGGCGCACGACACGGGCCCGGGGCTCCCCAATGGTGAGAGACCCACCCCTGGAGTCACAGGACTGCTCGCTGTTGCTGGGACGGTCCCCACGAGGCCACCGTCTCCAGCTCAAGTCCAGGGTCAGGGAGCCGCCTGGGAGGCCCGGTGGCCGGGACCCGCCCCAAGGCAGAGGCCCTAAGGGTCCACACAGCGGGAACTGTGACAGCTGTGGGACCACAGGACCCGGGGGCACCACCTTCCCACCCTGCCTTGGGGCACCCAGCAAACCCCCTCTTCCTCCCAAGTCCCACCTCCAGCACGGAGCTGCAGGGACCACCAGGGGACCTGCTGCTCCCCTGGTCACCCAGAGGGCGTTCCCCCAGGGCGAACCTGAAGGGGGCAGCTTCTCCCGATTGGGCTAAGTCTCGCCCTTGGACCTGTGGGAGCAGCCGTGGCGGGCCAGCTGGGGCTGAGCCCGGGTGGGCACGGGAGCCGTGGGGCTCCGGACACCCGGACACCAGCCCTGGTTCCGCCCATGAAGGGGGGAAGACCGCCTGGCTCAGCCTGGCATCTGACCCTCTGTAATCTCTTCCAGCCCTGCTTGCCCTGCGCCAGCCCACCAGAGGGCTCTGCCCAGGGCTGCCTGGGAGCCCCTCCGAGGGGAGGGGCGGGGCGGGGGCTCCAGGTCCCGGCAGAGGCAGGCCCGCCCCTCGAAATCCGGCCCCGAGTGCTGGAGACTATTGTGTGAGCTTCCTTTCCGACCGCTGTATTTACTCCCCAGGACGCGGAGCCTGCGGGCGGTTAGCAGGGCTCAGGAAGGCCCGAGCGCGTGTGCACGCACGCACACACACGCACACACACACCCCCAAAGCCGGGAAGAGGGGCGCACTCGCGGGGAGAGGCGCCAAACTCTCCGCACTCCGTAAACCCCCGGGAGCGGAGGGACCCCAGTGCACTCCCTACTCGCACGCAGACCCCCTGTTCCCCACGCTGCCTGCCTGTGGGAGGCGGCGGAGGGCGTCCCCCGGCCTGCGTGGGAGGCGACGGGGCACCCTGCCCAAGACCTCGCGGTGTCCACTCCGTGGCCCGCCCCAGCCAGATTCGGCTCAGCCTGGGCCCAAACTGGCGTGGGGGAGGGGCTTGTCCTCCCCGGCTTGCGGGGGCCGGGGGGGGGGGTGGTGCCCGAGTAACCAACCCCCCCCACCCGCGGCCCGGCCGAGCGGCCTCCGAAGGCCCAGCAGAGCGCCCGCCCGAGGGAGGGGGCTGAGCGGCGGCCGAGAAGGAAACTGCACGCCCGCCGCCCGGCGTTACAAGGAAGCCCCGCGAGCCTCGAGGAGGTTGTTGTCGCTCCGCGCACACAAACAATAAAAGGAAGGAAACCCAGGCGGCAGCTGTCCCCACACTGGGTCCTCTGCGTAGGCGACGCGGGGCGGGGCAGGGGGCACGCAGCGGGAGGGTGCCCCATCGGGGGTCCCGCCTCCCCCTCCGCGCACCCGTCCGGCCCCAGCACTCCCGTGGCTGGCCCGCGGCGCCCACCCACCTTCGAAGTCCGAAATGATCCCGTCCAGCTGCGCGTTGACCGCGGGGTCCGACATGGTGGTTCGCGGGCAGTGCGACGCGCTAGGTGGCCGCGGCGAGGAAGCGCCCGGGCCGGCCCCGGCCCTGCGCGCTGGCTGGGGCGGCGCGCCCGAGGTCCTGCGGAGCAGAGCTGGCCGCGGAGCCCCTCGGCCCCCGGGCTCTGCTGAATGAATGGGGGAGGCGGGCGGGCGCCGGCCTCCCGCTCCTGGCGCCCCCGCCCCGCTCCGCCCCCGCCTCCTGGGCGGATCAGGTTCCCCCCGCACTGTGGCCCGGCCTCCCCGGCTCCACTGGCTGCTCCGCCCGCCTGTCAAGGCTGGGACCTGGGGGGCTGGGGCCAGAGATGCCACCGAGGGTCGGCCCGAGTCCTGGGCGCCCGACCCGAGCGCCCCCCTGCGCCCCCGCAGGCCCACGCCCAGGGGTCAGCGGTGGAGTGAGCCGGCCCCCTTCCCCCAACGCCCTGCTGCGGCCAGATGTGGGCGGATGTGGAGTCGTGGGGGCGGTGCCGAGGGGGTGGGAGGGAAGACCTCATTCCCCTTCCCTGGGGCGCAGAGTTCCTTCTGCGGGAGGTTTTATTTACGCAAGCAAACAAAGTTGGCCGCCTTTGCCTTCCCGCGCTCAGCGCCGGCAAGGGTTAAGCGCTCGGGCTGGCTGCCCGCAGGATCCTGGCCTGTTGTTGGCGAAGAGCCGAGGGGCTAGCGCGAGAGTCACGTGGCCCGGAGGGGGGAACCCCCCCCCCTTCAGCAACTCCCCACCCCCACGCTTCCACCCGGGGTCGCTGCTGCGCCCGCGGGGACAGATGACAGAAGGCGCTGGCCCAGCGGGGACTTGAGGCAAGGATGGAGAGCCCTTTCAGAAGAGCCAGGGACATGGGCTGCCCCTGCGCCCCCCCGCCCCACCCCACCCGCCATAAGCGGCTTTTGGAAGGCAGAGCACAGACCTGGTCTCCCGTAGTTATTAGATAAGGAGTTAAGATCGGGGAGGAGGCGGCGGCAGCGGGGCGGGGCCGGGCCTGGGCCCCTATGCTCCCGGGCAGTGAACGTCGACGCACCCTATCCCTTCAGCAAACACGGATGAAACCCTAGTACCTGCCGGGCCAGCGGGTCCTCGGGGCTGAGGACAAGAGGGTGGGGGGGAACTTGTGGAGCATCAGGACCAGGTCCCCAGGAAAGGCCATCCGGGTCTGTGGCTGACACCTGGGGGGGGGGTCTCTTCCACGCCCCTTGGGGAGCCTCTTAGGCACTCCTGCCTGTTTCCCCTCACTACCTTAGACCCGTGGCCTCTGCCCAAAGTCAGGGTCGGGAGGGGGGGAGGGGGCAGTGGGAGAATCCACAGCATGGAGTATGCGGACCCTCTGAGCTGGTGGACAGTTTGGAACTCGGGTGCCCAGAGCTCCTCCTAGATCTCTGGTTGGTCACTGCCACGCCCCGCCACGCCCCCCAGTTCTGACGCGCGGGGGACGCTGAGGCCTGGTTCGGATGAGGCCTCTTGCTGACAGCGCACCAGGTTGGGTGGGCTTTTTCAGGAGACAGAGCTGAGTTCTTCCTTTTTAAGGAGAGCAGCCACTCCCTCCCTCGTGCTTTGGATGTTTTAAACTATTTTCAACCAAGTGAGTTTGCGGGCAGAGAGCTGCAAAACCACAGACATTTCGGAGGCGCGCACACCCCCGTTGGCCCGGGTGCCCACGTTGGAGAAGCGGAGTCGCCACGGTGGAAAATGCCGCCCCCCCTCCCCCCGTGTGTCTCCCACACCAGCTGGGGCATTTCTCGGGTGAACGCCGGTACCTAGGCCCGCCCAGCAGTCCCGCTGTGTGGGATCCCTGCCCACCCCATATTTGGGGGTTTGCTGGTTCCCAACCCCTAAGAAACAGCCTCGCGCCTGCCGCAGCCACCCGGGAAGACGCGGGGTGTCCCGGGTGGCCTCCAGCCTGGGCCACGGCGTCACCCTCCAGTGTGTTCGTAAAAACCACCTGGTGAGCGCAGACACACCCGCGCGATTGTTCTCCCGGAGGGCTGGCACGGGCTCCGCCGGAGCGGCGCAGGGCCGGCTCATTGTGCACTGGTTCACAGCCGTTCACCGCGGAGCTAAATATACTTGGGCTTATCTCCTCGGGGAGCGCAGCCAGGGTGCACGCCTGCTCGAAAGGCTCCCCAAGGGGGACCCAGAGGACAATGGCAGGACGGAGTCGACCTAGGATGGCGGGCAGCGCCCCATGCCGGCGGGACTGCTCCAGAGCCCGTCCAGTCTGTCTGTCCACTCCGTCCGTTGTCCGTTGCCTGCCTCCGGCCCTGTTCTACTTTAACCACTGGGGCCGCTGGGGCCGGGCCAGATGCCTCCAGGTACGGGGCTTCCCTGCACGCCCCCCAGAAACCCCGCCCCCCACCACTTGGCCACACCGCCGTCCCGGAAGTCCACTCTTGTATCTACCCAGCCGCTCTAATTGTACATCGTTTATTTCCTTTTTTTTTTTTCCCTTGTTCTCGGAGGAGATGGGAAACAGCTGGGTACCACCCTTCAAGTAATAATTACCTTCTCCAAACCAAAGACAAGCCGGGCGCTCCTTGGCCTCCTCCTTCTGGGCTTAAATCATCCAGCCTTTAATCACGCCCCAGCCTTTGATCCCTGCTGATGGCTGTGCCCAATCTGGGGCTCCTGGACCTCAACAAGGCCTGGTCCCTGGAGGGTGGTGCTCACCGCCCCCCCCCTTTCCCAGTGCATGGGTGGGCAGTGGCCGGGGCTGAGCAAGGGACAGTGGTCCTGGGCAGGTAACGTGAGCAGCGGCGGCAGCCACAGGGAAGGACAATGAGCTGAAACTGGGCAAGAAAAATACAACTGCAAGGCCTCTGCCTGCTGGGATGGCGCGGTCTCCGGAGGCCGCAGGGGAAGGTACCAATGGAGCCCCCCCCTCCCCGGAGGGGCCGCCTGCCTCGCACGCCCACTACGAGATGCGTCGTGCAGTGGGTGGACGGTGCTCCCCTCAAGTCAGGTCCGTCCGAACCTCAGAATGAGGCCTGCTTTGCTACACGGGTCTCCGCAGACGTTGTAAAGACAAGGACCTCCAGATAGGGTCACTTGGGATTAGTGCAGGCCCTCAGTGCAACCGAGAGTGTCCTTGTGACACGGAGGAGACGCGCACAAATGCAGAGAAAGGGCTGGCGAAGGCAGAGGCAGAGGCTGGAGCGATGGGGCCTCAAGCCAGGGGCCCTTGGGACTCGGCAGCCGGAAGAGGCAGGCAGGACTCGCCCCTGGAGCCTTCGGGGGGAGGGAGGCCCCGCCAGCACCCTGGCCGGGGGCTCCGGACTCCAGAAACGAGGGAGAGTCCGTTTCTGCTGTGGTCTGCGGCCCCTGGTGTGCCTGCCATCCCTCGTCACGGCGGCCCTGGGGTGTGAATACAGACCCCGAGACGCCCTTGGAGTCACTCTCCTCCACACTCAAAGCTGCGTCTCCCAAAGGCTATCTAGTATGTCACGGAACCTGTCCTGGGAACCCGGGGCTGTCCCCCAGCGGGCGGTCCTGAGGGAATCTGGGGGGCAGGGCGCCCAGGCAGCAAGGATGAGTGAGAAAGGCTGGATGGCGGGGTGGGCGGATGGGAAAGAGCGGTGTGCGGCCCAGGGGAGCCTCTCTGGAAATGGGAAGGTGTGGGCTGGTGAGACGCCCGCGGGTCGAGCCTGGGTGGAGGGCGCTGACAAAGCATGGGAAAAGGAGGGAGGGAGGGAGGGAGGGAGGAAACGGGGGCGGACACAGCCCTTTGGCACGCACGCCGGGGTCCATGACCCCAGCTCCGTGCAGCCTGGGGAGCGGAGGGAGGGCGGTGACCAGGGAGGGGCCCGGCCACTCCGTGCTTTTGGACGGGACGCCCCATAAGTGGCTCATCTCCTTTGCCACAGACCTGAGCTCCTCCAGCACAGAGGCCACGTGATCTCAGCTCTGCCTGGGCCTGCCTGGCGCATAGTAGGGCTTCCCTGTGCGCCAGAGCCTTGGAGCCATCAGCCACTGGACCTCTCCCTGCAGCCCAGGAGTTCCCTGGGCCCTGCATCTCCGTAAATGGCGCTCCAGGCAGACGTCTCCATGTGTCACCCCCAGTCCTGTCTCCCTCCCCCTGCAGCCGTCAGTCTCTACCTGCCCCACATGCACCTCTCCCACGTGCATGTGGAGGGAGCAGCCTGCCTCGGACCCGCAGCACCCGCTCCAGCCCAAGCCCCTCCTCCCGCGTCAGCACCAGCACCAGCGCTTGGGGTCAGGGACAAACAGCTCCTGACTCGAGGCATCTGCCTTTTCCGTGGCGTACACGCCCTCGGCGAAGGTCCAGATACTGATGCGTCACCCCGGGGGGTGGAGCTGGGAGGGGCCGTGCGGGAGCCCCCACTGCGTGCACAGCGTGTCCAGGACACAGAGGTGCCGGCCCCAGGGGCGCGGGGCAGACGGGATAGCTGTAGCAGAGCGCCAAGGGCGCGAGGGTTGCGTGCTTACGGCCTCTGCTGCTAACACGAGCGCCTGCGAGTCACCGAATGCACATCACACAGGCCTCAGGTGTAACTCAGTCTGAGAGAGCAGCACCTTTCTCGATGCTGGTGCAGACGGAAAATGTCCCATTTTAACCACTTGGAAGTGTCCACTCACTGGCATTAAGCACATTCACGTGTCGTGCGACCATCACCAGCATCTGCATCGCCCGAAAACCGACCCTCTGTCCCCGGGAAACTCCAACCCCCCTCCCCCGCTCCCACCCCGGCCACCTCCCTCCCACCTTCTGCCCCTCCCCCGTGACCACGCCCCCTCCGGGAGCTTCCTGTAAAAGTGGGACCGCATAATGTCTGTCCTCCGGGCCTGGCTTATGTCAGCGGGCCTCACGCCCCCAAGGCCCTTGCGAGCCGTGGCAGGCGGCAGAGCGTGCGTGCTCCTCCTGGCCCCCTGTGAACGCGGGGGCCCCCGTGTCTCTCCGAGTCTCCACTTCTCATTCTTTCGGGCACTTACCCAGAAGTGGAATCACATGGCAATTCTATAATTGAATTTAAAATAATTTATGTATAATTTTTTTAAACATGATGTATTTCCTAACACGTAAGCAATGTATTTTTGCATAAGACGTCATTAAAACGTCAGCAATGGCTGTGTTCGGGCGTGCCTCCCAAGTTAGCTGGCGCTGGCTCCACGGCCATCCCCTCCCTCCCGAGTCCCATCCCTCCCCCTGCCCCCCCCGCAGAGCCTCCCAGCTGGCTGCGCGCTCCCCTCCACCCAGACCCAGCGA